GAAGCCCATAAGAAGAGAGGAGGCAGGCTTCGGACAGGCCACAGAGAGGCCGCAACAGGCCTGCCAGCTGCCGAGGAGCGTTTGAAGGCGGTCCAAAATGCCTAACGTCGCCTTCGGAAGCCCATAAGAAGAGAGGAGGCAGGCTTCGGACAGGCCACAGAGAGGCCGCAACAGGCCTGCCAGCTGCCGAGGAGCGTTTGAAGGCGGCCCAAAATGCCTAACGTCGCCTTCGGAAGCCCATAAGAAGAGAGGAGGCAGGCTTCGGACAGGCCACAGAGAGGCCGCAACAGGCCTGCCAGCTGCCGAGAGAGGAGGCAGGCCTTGGACAGGCCACAGAGAGGCCGCAGCAGGCCTGCCAGCTGGCGAGGCTGGAAGGGTTCTGCTAGGCTTGGCCAACTGCTTCACCCTGCGGTGTCCCAGGCGCCTCCCCGCCTAGGCTTTGGCTATAGGCCGGGGTCGGCGGATATGTGTGGGATTCAATGCAACCGTATAGCAGCAGTAGCAGCAGGAGTAGTCGCAGTCGCAGTCGGCGTGGGCGTGGTGGTGGCGATGATGGTGGTGGTGGCGGTCGTGTTTGTGGCAGTGGTGGTTGTGGTGGTGGCGGAGTGGTAGGAGTTGCCCATTTTCGTGAAGCCTCAAAGCAGTACCTCAGGCTGTGGTCTTCATCGACGACTGCAGATTCTCCTTAGGTTCTATGAAGAAGTTCCCCTGCGAGGAAGATGAGGCCCTGCAATACCTCGACTTGAGCTCGGCACAAGTCTCGTTGAATGTATCCTGGCACTATCTTTGGCGACTGCGGAGGTGTCATCTCATGTAAAGAGCCCCACGCAACCCAATACGAGGAAGGAGCATTGATTGTTTGGGAGGAAGGACATGCAATGTTTGGGAGGAAATGGTGAAGCCCCACAATACCACTTGGCGGTTTCCTCTTAGCATTCTCTTTATTTGCAATTTGCCAAAGACCTGCTATAGGCCTAGACACTACAAACAGTGCAATCAGGACCAAGCAACAAGCTCTCCAGTGACTCCAGGGACTCCAGATCCTGGTGTGTCAAACTACCCGCTCGTTGGGAAAATTGGTAAATACATGTAAATACAGTAACCACTGGTGGGGTCTCTTTTTGTTTCGACTCACAGTATTGAAGACCCTCCTGTACATGGAATACCTGCTTTGGTGCTTTGGTGTTGCTTCTCGCGCCCCAGGTGTTCTCCTGGGCCTTGGGAAAAACCTCGGTCCTCCACAGTGGACTGCTGGCGATCTCGCAAATCGTCATGGTCTCAGGCCCTGGACGAAGGTGTTTGGGGTTTGACCCAAGTGGTTTTACCACGGAGATGCATGAGTTGCTGACCAGAGGATTGCACGGCAAGAGAAACCGACCAGAGGAATGGATCTGAACAGTATACAAGATAGACAAGGAACATTCAAAGATGGGTCCATAGATCGATGATCGGAATGATGACCTTTAATTCTGTGTAGGACAGAACATGTTTGATGAAATAGAGGAACGTCAACCTAACCTGAACAATGTGTGCTTTTTTCCCCATTGTGCAACCATTTTGGAGGCCTTTTCGATCATTTCAGGATATCATAGGGTTTCTGTACTAGGTGGAATGCTCCATTTCTTGGTTCGTGAATTGGACATTTTGGGTCTACTCCCATACACCTGTTCACTAACCTCTGTCATGAACCAACCAACAGCAGAAACACTAAACAAAAAGGACAAAGAACACCAATCTAGATGGTTCATGCAACATTTGGGGGACATCTGCAGAGGTTCCGGCAGGATCCCTTGCAACAATCTTGAAACCATCTCGAACCACCTTGAACCATCTTGAAACCATCTTAAACCTTTGTCCCCAATACCTTTCCCCAGAACTGGATTACAGTCGGGTGGGCACCTGGACAGGTCTGGGCCGAGCGGCCTCGAAGCTCTACAATGGTCTCTGCGTGTCCTGTCGGGGACTGCGGGCTGTGGCAGATGCTTCCGCCAACCATGTCGGGCATACCCAGCGGTGTCTCGGACATCAGGGGTGTTTCTAGAGGGTGACGTTTGGTTTCTTTTGATTTGTTGGAATCTTCCGTTGCTTGTGCGAAGATGGTGGACCCAGCGAACATAAGGGAATGTACAACTTTTGCAACTCAGCTTGCACATGCACTCCGGTCAGGGATTGTCCTCCATGTGCTGTTTGCACCCCCCCAAAAGCGTTTTCATACATGAAGTTGGATCAACATCCACATCCTGGTTGGTTCCCTCATGTTGGGGCAAGCCGTGGCCAACCCATGGCAAGCCCTTTGAGCCGTCAACATTCGCTGTTCCCGCACCAGACTGGAACTTTGGGCGAACCTTTGAAACTGATCAGGATCATGCCGCCTGGGCGAAGGGCAGACGGCCTGGCAGTGATGCAATCGGGATTGAGGAGCTTCAGTGATGTGGAGGGTCCAGACGTGTGCCTTGGTCCGGATGTCCATGGGGTAGGTCCCCCTTGCCGAAATAGTCAGCGCCATTGTGCATACTGAACAGGGCATCGCACCCGTTGATAAAATTACTGTAGTCATGCCTGGTCTTGAGGCGTCGAACACCTTGACCAATAGGAGACAACCCATGACCAACGTTCACAAGTCTGCCCTCCCCACGCCCTCCTGAGCCACTTAGCCCTTTGAGGAAGGCTTGGAGTCGGCTCCTTTGGACCAAGACCGTCGAGTCGGTCCAGCCGGAGAGTTGGCGATCCACCTTTGGGGCCGACGCCTGCGCGGAATGTGACCTGACGAGTGGTCACGGCCGAATGACCGATCGAAGGGTTTTCGTACTCAAACGCCGAAAGAAAAAGACCGTGAAACGAAAGATGTTTGGACTTCAAGTTGAAAGATGTTTGCTTACGGGCCCAATTTCTAGACACATGATTCGCAAAAAGCACTCCAAGTTGCCGTGGAGATTTATGCAACATTATACAACAACCCTCAACTTTCATCTACGTACTTGTAGAAGGCATACATTTTCATGGGCACCCAGAAGAAAAGAAGAAGAGCTATGCTACTTGCTATGCCAAAACGCAGTAGACCATAATGGACTCAACTCTTCCGTTGTCAGGAAGGTTGGGCCCAAACATATGATTGACGATGGGCTTCCATTCAGTCACTTCTGTTGTGATCAAGGTCAGGCAAAGGGCCTTTGTTGAAACTGCTGCATCCAGTGCCTTCTTGGATCATGATGGGCAAAGAAACAAAAACAGCTTTGCACCCGATAGCCAGCAGCGACTGGGGACTTACCAGATAGGTGGTGTGTCACTTTGTTGCATGGTTTCATCCTCGCGGACCCCTGAGGCTTTGCCGGCTTTTGGACTGGGGATGGAGAGAGACAGCCATTGGAAACCTGGAGCTCCAAGCATCACTGCCGGAATTGTGGCCTTGTTTTTTGTGATCGCTGCTCTCAGGACTGAGATGAAAGACAGGGATTGGTACATCGACCATTGTCGGCTGCGTCTCAACCCCTGAAGATCACTTTGGTGTTGGCAATTTTACAATATTCCCTCAGTGCGAGATTCCGGGTCATCCCGTGAGGGCCTGTGCCTGCCAGGATCGGAAGTGTGTCCCATGGGAAGGCTTTACCCATCAAGTGAGGGTCACTTTGGCAGAGAAGGGATAGAGGACGCTACTAGGAGCAAGGACGCTACTTAGGGGCTCCTGGCATCGCTACCAGGAGCAAGAAGCTACTAGGGGCTCCTGGCCTTACTACTAGGAGAAAGAACACTACTAGGCGCTCCTGGCATCGCTACTAGGAGCAAGGACGCTACTAGGAGCTTCTTCGCGCGCGCGGGGAGCGTCGGACTGGTCGGTGACTGGTCGGGCCGACATCATTGCTTCGTGTGACCAGTCGTCCCTACACCTCATGGCGACCGCCCGGACATCTGCCAGCGGCGTGGATGTCGGCAGACGAAGTCTAGATCCACCCAGATGCAGAAGCAAGATGAAGCAAGCATTTCTTGGATGTTTGTCCAACGCCGCGGGGGTTCCTTGAAATTCCTATGATTCAACCAGAGGGGACTTGCATGGAAAGCATAAGAATCACTGAGGACATAGACCTCACAAGTGGGTGCTCATCCACTTATGTGCCGGCGGTTGCCTCCAGTAGCTTTCACAACTGTGACAATTACACTCCTCCTCGGAGTTGTTTTCAGTGATCAGTGGCAGTGGTGATCATTCACCGGCCAATCGCATGGCATTTTCATGGGATGAAGATTTGTTTGCTGTGCAAACGCCGGGTGTCAGCCCTCCTTTTCCAGAAACTCAGGTTTGCAAACGTTGCGTCGATGTCGTGGAGGTGAAGAATCTAACTTTGCAGCAGCAGCTGAGCAGGAACAACTTTGTGTTGTATGAGGAGATGGGTCAATTTGTTTGATTCTTGTTGGGACACTCACCACCGGAGCTGCATCCCAGATCCTGTGAAGATTGATGAAATTATGTTGATGTTTCCGGGCTTTGGTCTCATTCCTGTGCAATTCGCATGGAAACCCTCTTCAGAGAGCCGATCAGCAAAGCTCCTAAGACTCACATATGACTAGCGCCCACTGGCCAAGTGTTTGGACTTTGTGACTCGACTTGGTCGCTCTCACTTGCTCCACCAAGGGCCTATGCCTTTGACGAGCAGATCCGCCTCATGGGACAAGGCCTTGTCCAGGCGGTGCCAGTCCCCAAAGGGAAGGCCGATCGGATCGACGCGAGGCAACGCCGACGCGGCGGAACGCGACGCGAGTTCCCCAATCGGCTCTGAGCAGATTTGTGGAGATGGCACCAAGAGTCTCAGCGTTGCAATCGTAGCATCCTGCAATCTGCATAACCTCTTGTTACTACTAGTAACAAGGGCATCGCTACTAGTAACAAGAAGCTGTGATTTGTTTGGCAGTCAAAGAGATTTGACTCTCCCCAGCCCCGGAGCGGATGACCAAGCTTCGGCAGGAGTTTCGGGATTTAAGAGACTCAAGCTTGCTTCAGTTTTCCTCCTGGGGCGACTGCCCGCTGCAAGTCCCTAATGTACGCCAAGTCTGATGTGGTTCTGATTGAGCGAAGATAAGACATCTAAAAAGAAACGTGGGAACTTATCTAATTTACCATGAGGGTCGCGAAGCTTGAGCTTGGAGCGGTTAATTGCAGTGTTTTCTTTGGATGAAGTCGTTTGAATGACTCCAAAGCCTTTTGGCAGTGTCAGGAAGCCTCAACCTCATTCACTGTTGGTTTCCAGCGGCAGACCCCATTCATCTCCCTAATGAATAGATTTTGTGGATCACTTGGATGCCTTTGTTGCTTACCTGGCAGGGCAAAGGGCCGCCACTGCCACGGAAGGGCAAAGGCAAAGGCAAGGGCAAGGACTGATGAACTGGATGGAAGAAACGTTTTCAGGGAAGAACTTATTCAACCGTCTACAGTGAGTTGAAGCAGGGTATGTAAAGGCACAAGTATCCGGAACTTCCTCAAGTCGCCCTCTCCCGCTGATTGAAAGCACGGTGGAATTGACGGAGTTTAGTGGATTTGATAAGAACCCACATATCGAGGATCTCCTGTCTTGTTTCTTTTTGACGTCGACACTTCTTTGGGGCATGGCGGTGTTGTCGCTAGGTGGCTGGATGTGTCTGGTGTCGCTCATCTTGACCAGGAGGTTCGGCAAGAAGATGGATTGGGAGCCTTGGGACAGGAGATCAAAGCAGAGATCAGCAGGGCTCCTCAGTTTCGAGCCGCCGAGCCATCACTGAGCCTTTTTTTTGGGAGATGAGGGGCCCGGGAGCAGCAGTTAGCCCACCAGTTTTATGCTCTATGCCTGAAAGTTCAGTAAGGGTGTTGACACAGTAGCTTCTTGTTACTAGTAGTAGGGCCAGGAGCCCCTAGTAGCCTAGCGTCCTTGCTCCTAGTAGCGATGCCAGGAGCCCCTAGTAGCTTCTTGTTACTAGTTCCCACATCCCAGTCAACGTAACAACTGGAGAAAGGTCTCAGTCACCCGTGTTTCAAAGCTGCTCCGTCCGGATCCGTTGGGCACGCTCCACGGCGAAGCCGTGGGAATCTGCTTCCAGGCGAAGTGAAGGAGTTTGCCGTCTTGCATCCCGCGCTGCACCACAAGCAGCTTCCACCTAGAAGTAGCAAGCAACGGAGTGACCTCCAGTGGGGCAGGCTGTTGGTACTAGTTTTCCCACTGGGAGCAGTTACGAGCGCGGCTAGGTCGAAAAACCAAGTTCTTCGGGTTGTGCTCATTCCATGAGAGATACTGTACCTGACCCGACATAATTCCAACCAAGATCTACTGTAGGGGTGAGGACTGAAGACTATTAAACTAGTAGAGCTTTGGCATACCAACAAGAACTACTTGCCAGACTGTAGAAGCCAGCATCATTTTGACAGCTTATGTTTGAGCGATCTTGTGCATCACCACCTTTGACGCACTCCAAGACATCTGACAAGCCTGCTCGTGAAAACCCCTCAAAAAGCACAACATGCTCCCCAAGGAGATTTGGACAACTTCAAAACTTGTTGATAAAAGTGAAGGTCAGCTTGCCTCAAATTTGTTGACATTTGTCAGACTGACACCTCTGGGGACATAAACAATTCTAAACAGGTACTGGGAAGAGCAAAGAGGTCTTATTGCTCTCGGTGGCCAGCTACGGAATCTTGGGCAGAAGCTGGAAAAATGGTCTGTTCGACTGTTCGATTCGAGTAATGGATTTCGAGGATTTCCGTGGGTTCAAGTTCACAAGATCAGAGTATGAGGATTCTTTGCAAAATTTCCCAGAGAAGTTTCTATGTGGGTTGTTCTCAAACATCGCAATGATTTTGTTTCTTCTTGCATTATTTTAAGTTGTGATAGCAAACTTTGCACCGTGCGCTTTTTCCTTTCCAGGGAATCGCATGTCTAAATCCAGCTGAACTTGCTTTCAGGAGATGGTCACCCAGCGGTCACCTCGCGGTCAGAAGTTTCGTGGTTTCCATCCAGGTAGGAGCAAAGACGCTACTAGGGGCTCCTGGCCTTACTACTAGTATATAACAAGAAGCGATTAGAAACAATAATTTTGAGAAATTCAGCTCAAGAGGTCTCCATCAGGTCATGTTGTGCTCCACACCATAGACCTGAAACGGCTGCAGCGGTTCCGCCACCACAGGGACAAAGATAAACGAAGTCGTCATGTGTTTGCGGTCTTGCCACAAAAAGTCGCGGTGGAACCAAGAGTTCTGAAAGTAGTATAAAGCTGTCGACCCAGGTTCATCGATCTCTGTTGCTCCAACCCCAACAATAAACTCCGAGCACGACCGCTGCCCTACAGATCGTGCGATCGCCCTTCCGTTGACCGCGGACCGGGTGCCAGACCGTGCGGCTGAAAAGGAATGAAGCAACACCTCTCAGAGATCCAAGATGCGCTGAAGAATGTCACATTGCAGGCCTGAGCACTGACATTCATGACAGAATGGGCAAAGAGGGTTCAGTTGAGTAGAGCAACAAGCCTGAGAGTCAGGTACACAGAAGAAATCCCTATGTCAGTTTACGTGGCAACTCATGCGACACCACTTTGGACGAAGACACTCGAAGCAACTTCCCGTCAAAGGATTTGCCGCTCCTATTCTTTACCTAGGAGCAAGGACGCTACTAGGGGCTCCTGGCATCGCTACCAGGAGCAAGAATGCTACTAGGGGCTCCTGGCCATACTACTAGGAGCAAGGAGGCTACTAGTACCAAAGGGCATCGCTATTAGGAGCAAGGACGCTACGAACGGGGCTCCTTGCCAGAGGAAGCAAAGCGGGAGACCCCATGACCCCGCACCGACCGCGTCGACCCGCCCCAGTTGAGCGAGGTCGATCCCGGGCTTTGACCGACCGCTTGGCTTTGACCCAAGTCAATTGGTTTTGTCAAAACAATTCTTCTCTCCCCGTTTTTCAGGTGGCGAATCCCGAGTGGTTCGAGGCAGTGGAGCAGATCATGCCATTGGAAGAGAAACTCTCGAAAGACACCTTGGATCGTTTGAAGGCTTCAGCGGCCGAAGACGGTGATGGAGGGTGAAGAGTGGTGAAGGGGAGGGGGATGGATATTGTCGGCCAACCTGCTTTAAAGCAAGCTCTCCACTTGTCGGGGTGCTTGGGGAAACGACCCTTGGCAAAGATCTGTGCCAGGCGACAGAACAGCTCTCAGGCTTGCGCTCAATTTGGAAGGGTGACCAAAACTATCAAAACCCTCTTGGTAGGGAGCAAGTTTGAGACACTTACTCTTGCGGGGCTGGTGGTATTGGACATTCCGAGGACCGCCATGAGGGAAACCAAGCGGTTTGCAGTCGTTGAGGGGCTGGCTCCAAACGCTCGAACTGAAGGCCTCAAATTCCTGACTTGTCAACTCAGAGTGAATGTTCCTCGTCAAGGTCCTACCATGATTTGAATCTACTAGCAGCAAGGACGCTACTAAGTGGAGGCCATCGCTATTAGGAGCAAGAAGCATGGAGTTTGCACCTTTCGGCACGTCACTCGTCCACGTTACTCGTCCACCTTGGGTGACATGGGATGACATGGGAAGCTTCCGGCTGGCGTGCGAAGGCTTGGCCAGAGGAGGAGTTTGGCAAGCTTCCACCATATGAACAGCACATTTGCAGCTTGGCACATCCGCACTGGTAGCTATACAAGTCTTGACCTAACAGTGATTCAACATACGAAGAAGAGCAGGCGTTTCAGCAGTGAAGTAGACGATGTTTTGATGACTTGGACAGGCGCTTTTTACATGTTCTCTGATGTCACGAAAGGTAGCTTGAGCTACCTGAGTTCTCCTTGCTTTAGCGAACATGTATTACAATCAGGAGTTGGGATTGTGCATTGAGTTTGGTCCTGCAAGAGTTGATTCTGTTCGTCGGGGGGGGGGGGGCCCACCCGTTCGTTGGACAGTTCCGGACCATGCGGCACACAAGTAGTTAAAACAATACAAGACAACTTTTCACACAACAACTTAAAACAATCATCTGTACAAGTACACAATACAAGACAATTAGAAGAGAACCGGCATCTTTGGAGTGGAGACAATCACACTTCGTATGACTAAAAGAGCACTTAACACTTCTCAGATATTCAACACTAGAAGAGACTTATCATTCCCAGTCGTGTAACAATCGAAGATTTAAACCCCGCGAGCCCCGCAGACCCCGCGAACCCCGCAATCCCCGCGAACCCCGCGGACCCCGCGAACCCCGCGGACCCCGCAAACCCCACAATCCCCGCGGACCCCGCGGACCCCGACCCCGCAAACTCCGCAAACCCCGCGGACCCCTCGAACCCCGCGGACCCCGCAAACCCCGCAAACCCCGCGAACCCTGCGCCCGCGAACCCCGCGGACCCCGCGGACCCCGCAAACCCCGCAAACCCCGCGGACCCCGCGCACCCCGCCAACCCTGTAAACCCCACGGACCCCGCGAACCCCGCGGACCCCGCAAACTCCGCGGACGCTGTAAAACAATGCGGGCACCCAGTGAGGAAGGACCAGCGAAACTAGCCCAGCTACCAGGCCATACCATCACAAGATCCCGCGTGGCCAGCTGACTTGACGCTGCCCAACAACAGCTGCCAGCCCTAGTGCCAGTACTATGTACACCAGAAAGAGTCCACGCCACATAGACCACAACAGTCCAAGCCACGGGGGGGCCGCCCCCCCCGGATCAAATCCCCCCTGCGCCGGTTCACGCCGTCATGGACTTCTACCAGGGTTACTTGTGATTGCCTGCTACCTTTCGTTCACCCCCTCCTCTCTCAAGTCTATAGTTTTGGCCCCAAGAAAAACAACAAGGCACCACCTGTTCCACGCTTCCAGAGAAAGTAGTAAGAGGCTTTGTGCATTGCCCTTTTGACTCTTCCATCCCAAGTCAAGACCAAGCCTTATATTGATGAATGATGGCTGAAGTTAGATCGCCATGAGGGTCCTTCGAGAAGCAATGATTAGTACACCATCCTGGTGGTCTTTTGTGCACTTTTGAGGGGTTTTGGGATGTTCCCCAAATTCCCAGGACAATCTGGAGCATTCACACCAAAGGATCAAATCTGATCCAGGCCAAATCTTCCTGGCCGTGCCCTCCTTGGAGCTTCGTTGGCGCCTCTTGCGGCTCTTGGCCGAGCCGGAGGCTGGGAGCACCGTCCGGTCCCTGGGATGTACCCAGTCGGACGGTGGTTTTGAGGGGAGTCGGTGTATCTATCACAGACGTGGGGAAGAAGACAGTCAGCAGGAACAACTCTCGATGTCTGGATGCCATGCCCACTCTGAATACTCTTCGACCTCAGTGAAACCTCAATGACCAACCGAGCAGGGATGGTTCTGATCTGCCAACCGAGCAGGAGTTCTCACCTTTTTTCACCATGGACCTCAACCAGGGTCAACTACCGTCCTTCCCGAGCCCCCTATTTGGACTGATACACGCACACCAACTATTGCAAACTGACTATCACGTTCAATGAGTTGCCCTGTGAGGACAAGTTCTTTAAGCCTTTGGACGCTGTCTCGCGCGCCTTCTCCACCCTTCTCCTCGATGGTAGTCCGCCACAGCTGTGGCCAGAGGCGATCCTGAGATGGGGACTTAGAGGGTCTAGCGAGTCTAGTGGTGAGGCGCAGTAGAATCGCGGAACGACAATGACAGTGCTACTTTCGTTTGATGTTTATTCATTGTTGAAGTTCAGACAGACAGAGGGTGAATTTGTTGAGTCTGAGTTAGATCGATATACTGATTTGCATCCTTGAAGCAAAGGGTGGCACACGGAAAACACTGAATGATCAGTGGGTCAAGGTATGAGATGCTTGCACATGCTGTGCAAAACCTGACAGATTACATAGAAAGTCTCAAACATAGGTGTCCTCTTCACAGAGACTTCCCTGCTCTGAAGACTTGAAGGTGAAGAATATGGTGGGGCTGCAGCTTGGAACAACCTTTGGGAACTGGACCTGCGCTATGTTAAACTAGACACAAAGTAATGGCCTCTAACCCAATAGCGATGGCTTCTTAACAACAACTGGGTGATGGTGGGTGCATACAACGTGTTTTTTTCCTTTTCATCTATAGCCGCTGTCCAGGATCCGGATCGAGACCGGATGTTTGGGACAAGATCCGCAAAAGGACTCTCTCTCTCTCTCTCTCTCTTTCCTTTTCTTGTTCTGTTGCGGTGTGATCACCGGATCGAATACCGAAGGCACTTTTGCTTAGGAGAAAAGAAGCACGCGGTCCGGTTTTCGAGGGTTATGAGCCCAACCCGTTGCCTGCCATGGACCGTTCGCAATCTCTGCCACCACTAAACCCCTGGTGGTCAGAGAAGCTCCGGCGAGAGGCGATTCTGCAGCACCATAGGCCGCAGGACTTGCCGGCGCCGCATGACGGCGATGATGGCGAGTTGGACGAGGTCACACAAGGTGAAGGTGTGGCTGGAACTGGGAAGGGTCGAGGACTTTTGACCCAAGGAGGACGGGTGTTTGTCACTCCTCCCAGCCGACGAACGCCAGAAGGTCGCGGTGCTGGCCCTGGTCGCAAGACTGCGGGGACGATGGATGAGGGGAGCACCAATCAGCCTTCCCCACCGGCTGCAGGACGCACAATGGGTCCCATGCCACCAGAACCAGAGAAAGCCCGGCCGAAGCGGGATGAGACGCAGGGAAACCTGCAGAGGGCCATGGAAGCTGAGATGGTTGTTTTCCTCCGGGAGCAGAATGAACTACTTCGGGAGGAACTAGCTCGTTTGAAGAAGGGCACACCAGATGGGTCATCTTCAATCCCCACCTCATGGGAGCAGGTTGATAGCTCGGGCCTTGAACAGGGGCAACCAGGAGAGGATGGGCTAGAGGGTGTCCGCGGCGGTGGTGATCGTGTGGGCGCTGGGTTTCGTTCGCACGTTGGGCATGCACATCCACGAGGGGAACAGCCTTTGACTCCAAGAGGGCGTAGTCCGACCTCTCGGAAGGTGGTTGGTGAAATGGACGCAAAAAGGTTCACTCCCAATGGAACCCAAGTCCCACCTGGAAGCCCACCTCATCGTCTTCCGGAAGTGCCGATGCCACCGTTTCCTAGTGCCTCGGCTGATCTTAGCACCTTTCTTCAAGCCTACGAAGCGACCGATGCTCGCCATCGACAACATGGAGACGTTCACTGGCTGCCGCTTGGCTTGAGAGAAGGGAAATCGTTTGAACCTTGGCCGACTCGTGCCACTCGGCTTGAAAGTGAAGATCGAGCCGCTCGGCTGGAAAGGGAGGTTCAAGTGTTGAGGGCATCCATGGAGCGGCTGCAAGATGCTTCGTTGGCTCCTGGCGCTCCTGCATCATGCTCAAAGGACGTGCCGCCGCCTCCGTCTGGTGTGGACATCACTGGCAAAACGGGGCATGTTGGTTTGCAGGGTCATGAGCTCCGAGATCTTTTTGGTGACCATGGAGGGGCTCCTGGTGTAGACCAAGGGGGTGTTGGGGTATGCCATGACAATCCTGGTCGTGTATGCCCTCCACAATCATGGAATTCAGGTGTTCGTGCTACATCACCACAGGGTCTCCCGCACTCCAACCATGAGTACAATGGTGATATGGGCTATGGTCGCTGGCGGGGGGACACTGGCCCTGCTGCTGTCCCTCTTCCGTGGAATGAGGGATCTGGTGGCAACAAAGCAGAGTTGGCGGAGCTTTCCGCTGATGCCTCACCGCTGGAGTTGGGGGATTGGCTTGCAGTTTGTGGCCCAGTTCTCAGAGACATCTCCGCGGTGTCTGGCAGGTGGTGGCATCTGACTTTGACAGAAGCTCAATGCTACTATGATCGCTGGAAGACGGCTTCGCCCTTGGAGAGGGTGCAGATCACTCCGCGCCTTCCAGATGAGCTCATGGATGTTCGCTGCCATCGAACGGAGCAGCGGGGCGTGAACCTTCTGCTCAAAGCGATTCCGGTGGATCAACAGCAATCCTTGATCACCGACAGGGAGCTCACCTCCACGGCTTTGCTGTACCGGCTGTTGGTGCGGTTCCAGCCAGGTGGAGCTGGAGAGAAGGCCATCTTGTTGGCCAAGTTGACGGCCTTGGATAAGGCCAATGGCATCTCGGAGTGAGCAGCTGCTCTTCGCTCTTGGCGGAGGCATTTCTCGCGGGCTCGCGAGATTGGTGCTATCCTGCCGGATGGCACGCTGTTGTTGAAGGCTTTGGAACCTGCGGTGATCCACATCTCATCGCTGGATGCTCAAGCGGCCTTTCGGTTGGCTCAAAGTCGCCTTCAGCTTGGAGTTGATCGGCAGCCCCATCACGATGGTGTTTGGAGGTTGAGTCAATGTGTGTTGGCTGAGGTGGAAACATTGGCCCTCATGTCCTCGACTCCAACGCCGCCCACAACGAATATTAAGGTCAAACAGCTCGAGGCTACGAGCAAGCCTGGAGTTCCGACTGGTCCCAAGTCTGACAAAGGCAAAGGCAGCTCCACTTCGATGTCTACAACCCCATGCAGATATTTCCGGTCTGATGCTGGGTGCAAAGCTGGCCGCAACTGCAAATGGTCCCACTCATGGGATGGCATCGATGACAAAGCTGCACGTTGTTGGATCTGTGGTGGCAAAGATCACAGAAAAACGGAATGCAAGCTCAAGTCCCAGACCAAGAAGGATGGTAAGGGCAATGGTGAGCCTGTGCCAGGCTCAGGGGGAGGCAATGCGGCTGCGACTCAATATCGCACTGCGGCGGCCAATAATGCCAACAATGGTGCACAGGGCGCTTCAACCGGTGCTGGTGGTGGGGGGAGCTCGCAGGCAACTTCAGTGGTCAAGCTGCAGGAGATGGAGCTGGGTCCAACCAACCAAGGATCGAGTGCTGGTGGAGATGTCCCGGCTGTTGAGGCTGCATCCAAAGGAGGTGAAACTGGTGCTACATCAAGTGAAGCACTTCTACAAGAGGCAACGCAGTTGTTGAAGTCACTTCGTGCCCCTTTGCTTCGTGTCATCAAGGTAAGCCAGCTGGAGCATGATCCGAGTGGTGCATTGGTTCTTCTGGACTCGGGTGCAACTCATGCTCTTCGGCCGGCACTACGTTGGGAAGAATGGCATCAAGCCACACCCACACAAGTCAGCCTGGCAGATGGGGTCACAACCAAACTCCGCCTGAAGCCAGACACCAAAGTGTTGCTCTCAGCCCCTGATGATCGAGATTCCGGTCAATCCTGGATTGTTCCACTCGGTGGCATTGCCGAATTGGGATACAAGTTCGAATGGAAAGGCTCTCAATGCAGCCTTCGTGATGAGCGTGGCCGGACCTTGGAGGTGGTGGTGCAACATGGCTGTCCTATGGTCCATCGTGAGCTGGGCCAGGAGATGATCAACCGCCTGGAGACACGACAAATCAGCCTCCTCAAGAAGGCGATTTTGGTGAAAACACTGATGGAAAATCCTCAGGGCAGCGAAATCAAGGCTATGTGTGACTCGCCCGAACTGGCTTTGACGGTCAAGCTGAAGTCATTGTTTCCGGATCTTCCGGATGAGATCTTGATGCGGGTGGTTCCTGATATGTCACAGATGCAAACTGGCTTGGATGGACACCGCCTACCGTGGAACAGGCGCCGAAGACGTCGTCTGGAACGGGCAAAGAAGTTGGTGCTTCATGTGTTTTCGGGCCCTGACTCCAAGTACTGGGAGAAAGTCCTGAATCAAGATGGCATGGAGGTTGTGTGCATCGATCTTCAAGCAGAGGTCCCGGCTGATCTTCATGATGACCAGACCAACATGTACCTCCTCGCACTGGCAGCTTCAGGGCGGGTCAAAGCAATAGTGGGTGGCCCACCGTGCCGTACGGTTTCGGCTTTGAGGTATCAAGATGATGGTGGCCCTGGAGTGTTGAGAACAGAAGAACATCCGTATGGCCTTCCTTCTTTGTCATCAGCGGATTTGGAGCTGGTGCGCAATGACAGTGTGCTGCTGTTTCGCATGTTGGCCCTCTACGTGCTCTGTGAGGATGTTCGTCTTCCAGCTGAGCCTCAAACAGCTCTGGCCATCGAGCAACCCGAAGATCCTGCCCGCTATCGCCCTGCTGAGGAGGTGGAAGCAAAGCGCTTCATGTCCATTTGGCGCACCAAGGAGTGGCAAGCTTTTGAAACCAGATATCAGGTGCGGCAGTTGCACTTTGACCAAGGCCCAATGGGTCATATCAAAAGAAAACCCACAACGTTGGCAGTGGTGCTCAAAGAGCTTCAGGTCTTGAATGAAGTGAGAGGTCCCCCGAGTGGTGTTGCTCCTGAAAATCAACCTCCTGATCGTCGCGACATGACGATGCAGCAATGCTGTGAAGATTCTCGGCAGTGGGCTGCGTGGGCTCCGGGCTTGAAGGTTGCCATTGTTTTGGCCCTGCAGGGATGGTTGAATCAGGGCTCAACTCCATCGCTGGAAGCGGCTCTTCGACCTTTGACTCCCGCGGCATTGGACAGTTGGAAGCAGCACTACTTGAACGATCACATGCCGGCTCGTCGTGATTGCAAGCATTGTGTCCGGTCTGCCGCTCGGAGTAAACCGCACAAGAGGATCGTGCACCCTGAAGCCTACACATTGAGTGTGGATTTGTCTGGCAAGATGGCTCCTGGTTTGGATCAAAGCAGGCACCAATGCCGCTACATGATGGTTGCGGTCTACACGTTCCCTGTTGACAGCCATGGTCGTCCACTGGCTGAAATGGAGGGCGGTCGAACCATGGAGGGCCACGTTGATCACGACCTTCCGCCAGGTGATGATCTTGAGTTTCCTCAACCCAACCTCAACGAGGAAGATCCTGGTGATGCTTTGCTGTGTGAGGAGCCAGTTGATGGGGCTCCGATTCCGGGGGAGGAAGCTGCATTGCGAGCATGTCAGGCGTCGCATGAGGCTTGGCATCAAATGGTGGAGCTCCTAGGAACCCAAGGACGTGATGGTCAAGAACTTGACTTTTGTGGAGGTCCTCAACGGGAGAGCGGTGCACCACATCCTTCCAGCCCTAGCTCGAATCTATGCTCGGTTGAGGAGCTTGGGTCTGCCTGTGTATCGCATTCACTGCGATCGTGCTCGCGAACTGATTTCCGCTCCGGTTCGCAGGTGGTCATTGGACCGAGGAATAGTCACCACCTTGACAACTGGTGACTCGTACAAGTCAAATGGCCGAGTTGAAGGTGAACTTGGAGTGGTCAAAAAGCATGTCCGCACCATAGTGGCTTCTTCAGAGCTTGGTCTGGATAAATGGCCTTTGGCAGCTATCCACATCGGTGAACGCCGCCTCAGGGGACAGCTGCGCAGTTTGGGCTATCCTTCAGGCCCACTCTTGAAGTTTGGGGCCAAAGCTTATGCCCTCAAGAAGTCTTGGCAAGAAAGGTATCAACCTTGGCGTGAGGTGAGGGACGAGGTGATCGTTCTTGGACCGGCCATCCAGTCTTCGCTGACAACCACCAGCTACTATGTCCAATCCATTGACTCACAAAGGTTCTTTTACACCGATGATGTGGTGGTTCCGGCTGCTGACCAGCCAGAGGCAAATGAGGCCCTGGTTCATCTTCCTGAGGTGGGTGATGTGCCTCCAAGGCCTATGTGGGATGGGGGTGTTCCGCGTCGTCGGTTGCGGGACAAAACAGCAGTGCCACAACTTTCCATGCTGCACATGGAGGGGGAGGGAGTGGCAGCAACCTGGATGCACAAATGGCTTGTGGCTCATCGAGAATGTTTTGATGCCATTGCTCCGAATGCTCCGAGTCTTTTTTCTTTGGAATTTAGCAGCGACAGTTGGACACTGGAAACACCTGAGAGGACGACCTCCGAGGAGGATGAGTCTCAGGGGGGTTCGAACTGCGGTTCCATGGAGGTGGACTCGATCCGAGGAGGGGAGAAGGAGGAGGCGCCTAACAACCAGGATGGTGGCTCACGCCTGGTGGCCTCGATGCAAACGACCCCTGGGAACTCACCTCCTCAGAAGATCCAACTGCTTCGTTCACTGCAGGCCAATTTGGCGTCCTACGTGGCTGAGGAGATGGAGCGCGTTGACGTCTCGAACCCGGAGCAAGGTTGTTACATGGAAGTCCTCACCCAAGCCATTATGCAGAAGGTGGAAGTGGAGGAATTGCTGCTTCAGAACGATCATGACCAAGAGGAGGCCAAATGCCAAGAGCTTGAAGAAGAATTCTTGGTCACCAAAACGATCAGCAGCAAAGAAGTGTGGGAGGACTTTGAGAATTGGGTCCCATCCATCACGGCTGAGTACAATCAGCTGGTCAAGACAAAAGAAGCTGTCGAGCAGATCACCAAGCAATGCCTTCGAGAACGTGCTGAAGCGCAAGGCAAGGTGATCGAAATCTTGCCAGCAAAAATGGTCTACACCCGCAAAGCAGGAGGAGGCACCAGAAGAGCACGGGCAGTCTGTTGCGGGAACTACTCAGACTCCAGGTTCAGTGGAGATTGCTACGCTGGTGGTGCTGACGGGTGTCAAGTGAGGGCCTTAGTCCGCACGGCAGCAATCAAAGGCTGGACCATCGCGGCTACAGACATCAGAGTTGCCTTCTTGAACGCCCCAAGAAGAGATGATGGCAAACTTGTGGCCATGGAAATCCCAAGCGTGTACAAGCGTTTGGGGTTGGCAAAAGATGGAGAAGTTTGGTTGGTGCGATTAGCCATGTACGGCTTGACTACGTCTCCACGAGATTGGTCGCAATACAGAGATCGCACTTTGCCTGCCGTCAGCTGGGTCAGAGTGAGGGAAGAAAACAATCAGCCCAAGCGAGTTCGAGGGAGGTTGGTCAAGACTGATGATGAGAACCTGTGGCGGTTGGAAGAAGCTGATGTTGAATCAGGAAAAGTTCACTGGACTGGACTGATGTCAGTATATGTGGACGACATCCTGATCTCGGGTGAAGAAGCCACAGTTTCAGCAGCCCTGACTTCCTTGCAAGCGACATGGACCACGTCGAGTATAGAATGGGCCTCATCGACCTCAGCTGTTCACTATTGCGGCTTTGAGATCACGGCCGCTGATGAAGGTGATGGCTTCCACTTGTCTCAGAGGAAGTACGAGCAAGAAATTCTGGCTCGATGGAATGTCACGGAGTCCACCACCTTTCCAAACTTCAAGGTCAGCGAAGCTGATATGGAAGCCCAAGACTATGTGCACAAGAACCAGATCAGAGAAGCTCAAGCTCTGGCTGGATCATTGCTCTGGTTGTCAACGAGGTCCCGACCTGATTTGGCCTATGGAGTTGCGGCATTGAGCAGGCTGGTAACCCGAAATCCAGCCAGATCGATTGAGATTGGCTACTCCCTCCTGGCCTATGTGAAGGGGACGCCCGGTGAGTTGCACTACCCTCGCTGGATCAAAGAAAAGTGGGGCTCAAGAGGCCAGTTGAAGGTCCAGCGGCACAACATGCTGCTCGAGGTGTTTGCCGACATCGCCTACGGCGCTGGATCAAACCACCGGAGCGTTCAGGGCTTGGTGATCTGCCTTGGAGGAGCACCGATCGCGTGGCAAAGTGCCACTCAGCCCTTCGTGACTCATTCCACAGCAGAGGCAGAGTTGGTGTCTTACTGTGAAGGTCTTTGCACTGGGCGAGCAACAGAGGCTTTGCTGTGTGCTATGTGGGGGGGAGCCGCTCACGAAAGCCAATCCCTTCGAAAGAGTGATCTATGGTGACAATGCAGCAGCAATCAGCCTTGCGCATGGCAATAGTGCCACATCCTGGAGAACAAGACACCTGCGTGTCCGTGCCAATATACTCAAAGAGGCCATCGATGAGACGGGCAACTATCCAGGAGGCACATGGACACTATCCCATTTGAAGGGGACAGAGCTTGTGGCCGATGGCATGACGAAGCCTCTCCTTGGCCAAAGCTTTGCTGGGTTTTTGGGCGACTTGGGTCTGAAAGCGCCTGAGGTGAAGATTCAAAAGTTGACACAGGGTCAAAACCCACCTCCTGTACCAGACCGGCATCTGGCTGTCAGAGCAATGGTGGCTGGTGGAGCTATGGTTCGTGCAGCTGAAGCCCAAGGAAGCGAAGGTCCGGATTCAACTTTTGGAATCCTCTGGACCTGTGGTTTAGTTCTGGTTCTCATCGGGGCAATCTGGGTAAGCAAGACAGCTTTTCTCTCGTTGCGATGCTGTCTGCGGAGATTGCATGGAGTTGCCAGTCGGCCACAGGACCAAAGTGATCCATGTGATGATGATGAAGGGCTCCAATCTACATCCTTGAGGGTGACGCGGGCAAGAACAAAAGGTGGAGGCCGGCTCTCTAGCGAAGAGGAGCTGGATTTCATGACGGAGGAGGAGACAGAGGGTGAAGAGCCTGTGAAGTCAACTCGCTTCAACAAGATGGGCACAAGAAAGGGCGAGATCCCGGAGGAAGAGCTGTTTGAACATCAAGGAAACACTTCATCCCGGAAGAGCTCTTTGCCCAAGACTTTGAGGCGTCGGTCGGGCTCTACGAGCGGGGCTACATCCTCGCGAATGTCGGGGAGATCGACGGGTGAAGCAGAGTCTGATGCTGCTCGAGTGAGGCGGCAAATCATGCTGCGGAATGCGCTGAGGTGGCCACTGAGATGCTTCAGCGAGCTATGGCAAAGCCAAAGGCTCAGCCGATCCAGAGGATCAGCAGCGGTTCAGAGAACCCTTGGAACCGCTTTCAACACCTCCACGCCAAAAAGGGGTGGAGCCAAGAAAAAATGCGTGCTGAATACTACAAGATGAAGAGCCAAGGAAATGTGCCTTGAGCTGGCTCGTCTTTTTCAGCCTCAGATTCCGCCTATAGAAGACGGAATGGGGGAGTCTGTTGCGGTGTGATCACCGGATCGAATACCGAAGGCACTTTTGCTTAGGAGAAAAGAAGCACGCGGTCCGGTTTTCGAGCTTGTAATTACTAGCTTCTCGTTACTACCAGTAAGGCACTTGTTACTACTAGCGATGCACTTGTAATTACTAGCAAAGGAATCTACTCATTCTCTTTCCTTTTTCTTTCTTTTTCTTCTCCTTCTTTAGACCTTCTTTCCTTTCTTTCTGTCTGTCTGTCTCTCCAAGTCGACTCTTGCGCCGCAGAGCAGCCGCTCGACACGTCCCAGGTTGCAAGGGCTCGTCCAGCCGACGTGCAAGACCCTGAAAGAGCTCGCCGACCAAACCGAGGCGGCGCGGAGCGGCGGAGCGGCGTGCTATTTTGGGGTTGCCGTTCCATTTACCCCAACTCGGTTTTTTGCGCGACTTGGCCGTGTGTGTTTGTGAAGAAGCTGATCCGAGCAGTTGTGGTTTCGCACAAGGTTGGCAAAGGCAGAGAGCTCTTCACCAAAGTTTGGGCGCTGCGCCACTTGGAGACCATTCGGGTGCAAATGAAGTTTTGGAGCAGTTGACCAAGAAGTCGTCCCGGAGTCGAATCAGAATTCCCACCTGTCACATCATATTGCCTGCTTTGGTACTTACTTTGACGAACATGCTTTACCACAGTAACCCAACATGCCAGGAGTTGGGCTATGATATACCGATTTATTTTGCTAACCCTGTCATGACACGCGTGCCAGAACTGTGCAAGGCAGTCCTTGCATGCATGCGTCCCTTAGATTCGGCCTTCTCATGACATACTTACGATTGCAAACACCATCCGCAAAGCACTTATCAAACAATAATGTTGTCCTGTTTGATTTGATGGCATGTCTTACTACTGACGAATAGAAGTAAACATATATATATATATTACAGTATATCTACATACATACATACATACAATACAATACAATACAATACAACACAACACAACACAATACAATACAATACAATACAATACATACCATACATACCATGCATAACACAACACAACACAATACAATACAATACATACCATACATACCATACATAACATAACATTACATTACATTACATTACGTTACATACCATACATACATACCATACCATACCATACCATACCATACCATACCATACCATACCATACCATACCACAACATACCATAACATTATCTTACCTTACCTTACCTTACCTTACCTACATGCATACATCCATCCATACATACATCCATACATCCATGGCTCAAGGCGACGAGTGCTCAAGGAGGCAGCCCGTGAAGCCCTCCTGGTGCGGCGCCCCCAGGCGAACATCTCCTGGACAACAACGAGGAGCACGGCCCAAGGACAAGGTGACATACCACCGTTCTTTGCCCACAATCTCCGACTTGATCTTCCAGGTTCCTGAACTGATCTTCGGCACCTGGCAATTTCTCGCTGGTCTACCTCCTGGGGATTTTGGAGGTCACTGGCCCTTCATCACTGCCGTTTGCTCTGGCCTGTTCGTGAACTGTGCCCTGCTCAGCGCCCTCTTCATAAACAATCTCAAAGCCATTGAGAATTCCCACATCAGGCACAATGACATCTTTCAGGAATACCTCCTGGTGCAGAGGCTATGTGACATGTAGCCAGGCCCAATGTGCCAATTGGATCTGGCAGGATCGTCTACGTCCTGACACAAGATGCCCCAAGTGTGGAACGTGGTGGCCTAGAGTCCCAACCAACTCAGGCGGCGCCGGCAAAGGGAAAGGCCAAGGAAGACCAACAAAAACTACGACATCATGGCAGACAACATGGCTTGACACGCCACCTGGCTTGGGACGAACGAAGCCGCTCAAGAAGACCAAAATTGAAAAGGAAGCCGCTGATTTGCTCGAGCCGGTTTGGAGTGTCATCTCAACAGACTTGCAAGACAAACTACAGCACCTCGGCATTGGACCGCAGAAGCCACCCGAACCTGACCTACATGAGATGCTTAAAACGCATATGGCATCCTTGCCTGCCCAGGTCCAAGAAGCAGTCACCCGTTTGACAGCACCAACCCCGGCTTCTGAGCAGGACATTGCAATCAAGTTGAAAGGACAGGTCACTGAGCTCAAGAACCTGTCTACAAAGAAGACGCATCTACAAGAGAAGCTGGATCAGACCAAAGCTCAATACCAGCCAGTCCCTTCTCACGGAGATGCAAGAGCTACAGCAGAAGCTCAATGATGGCCAGCAGACTCTGAAGCTCCTCTCTGAGGAATACATGAAGGCCGTCAACAAAGATCCACAGCCACCTGAGCTGGAGACCAACATGGAGATAGACCCTCTGCCGGCCGCGGTGGAGACCTTTGGTAGCCAATCTTGGGGTCTCACTGTCTAATGAACAGAAGACCCAATTGCATGGGTTGCTCAAGCGACCCAGTGACAACAATGATGACCTCACCAAGCGACGGAAAACGGAGATCAAGGCACCAACGTTGCCGGGAGGACAGTGTGGGTAACCACAACCAAACACCCTCTGGGTTCCAAGGGCTCCAGGTGCCGGTACCCCTTGATGATTTTGACCAGGCACCTCCAATCAATACGTTTTGCCGCGCTGCCTCAAGCACAGCGCAGGCAGGGGATCAACAAATGACATTCTGTGCAAGGGGACAACCACAGAAGCATTTGCAGCCACTTTTTCAAGCACAAACTTTTGGGGACTCCTCCCACAAGAGTGAAAGGGAAGCCACTCTTGTACCAGAGGATAGACAATCCAGGCTCTCACAAGAGCACCATTTTGCACCATACTCTAGTGAATCGGGGCGCTGATGGACCACTCCCTGGAGCACCTGGCCCAGAAGTCATTCTGATCCAAGGAGGAAGCAATCAGTGCCACTACAAAGGGCATAAGATCGCCGCCCGAGGCCAAATGCAGAACACGTATGCATCCACCACGGAGTGCATACTACAGAACCTCACCATGACGGTAGGAAACCCCAGCTTTGCAAATGCACCTTGGCGAGCATTCACATGGACCTGTGCCCTGCGACAGGAAAACAACAGTCAACCCTGGGGCAATCTTCAGGATGCGGCCCAAGAATCACTAGAACTTGCTGAAGCTACCCGGCCTCAGGCCACGATGGACGAAGCACGGCCTCAATATGCAGGGAGACGCCAATCACTTCGTCAACACGTTGTGGAACCTCTCCCAATCGAGGGCATTCCATTACCAGTTTGCGGAAATCCAAGAAGGAGGATACCTGCGGGATCACATTGAACAACCCATCATTGTGCCCTACCCTGACAATCCCCAGGACCTGTTCAATGGATGGGCCAACACGGGTCTTGGCCAGTACTTGATGGACGACAAACCAGTGCTGGTAAGCCACATCACCAGAAACACTTGGGTTGAAGGCATCCCGACCAAGCGCACCAAGATCTTGAACACGCACGGCACCTTCACCGTGCCGCGCTCACTGGATGGCTTTGCACGAACCTCCTCTGAGTTCGTACCAGCGGCATTGATTTGCCACAGAGGACCTAGCCACACGACCGGCCACTACTTTGCCATCCCCATCTACCGCGACCTCATGTGGCTAGCAGATGATGGAAAACCACCAGTTCATCTAGACATCACAATTGGCCAGTCAGGTCACTCAAATTTGGGCGGTGCACATTGACACTTTCAGGACGACTCAACAAATTATGCGTTCATTGCCACCACCGGAGGAACCAGATTTCGATCCACCTCTCCATCCAAGGCCAGAGAAGAAACCCAGGTTGGAAAAACAGCACAACCAGCTACATTTTGCCAATGTCACACATTTTGGCAAGCAGGTGTTGGACTGGTACTGGTCACGACAAAGTGAGGTGTACATCTTCGTTGAAACTCACCTTGATCCACAACAACACCAGCAAACATGCCAATACTTCACAATCAGAGGTACGGCTTTGCCGAATGAAGGCAACACAACAGGCACACATGGAGGCATCTTGGAGCTGGGTGATCCCTCCTGCGGGCTCACGGCCTTAGAATCCTTCACCCTACAAGGCTGTGGGTATCAAGCCTTCTTATGGCAAACCACGGACTGCGCCATCCTGGTCGCTGGAGTCTACATGAAGACAGGTGAAAACCTCCAGAGTGACACCAACGGCACTATTTTGGCCCGGCTCATGGCCCCCATCCAAACCACCCCTACATCCTCCTAGCAGGCAGTGTCACGAGCACCGTGCTGCCATCCAAGTTTCACTTTGAGGTCCTGTCAGGCAATGTGATTGACTATGCCCTCATTCACACCACGCTGGCCAGCACCACCGCCCTCACAACTGACTGGGCAATCCCATGGAGGCCACATACACTCCTCACCCTCCATCTCAACATTGAGGAGGCCACCAAGGAGTACCGCCAGATCCAATACTTCCCGCCACTCCCAGCTACGCCGGACATCAACTTCAGGCCATGGACAACATACCAATCCACTGCCCATGAACTGGAACTCTACGGAAATCCACCCAACAGCTCTGCACAGCAGTGGGCTGATTGGATTTCTTGCGCAGAGCAGTACCTCCTCCAAGAACATCCATGGGCAGCTCAAGGCCGAGGAGCCAACTTGCATGCAGTCTTCAAACCCTTGGCATCCACCAAAACGGTTGGCATATGGAAAAGGGCAAACCAGCCTTTTGGGAGCAGCTCAAAATAAGATTCCAACTGGCCTTGAAACAACCGCAGCAACACGGAGGAGGACCCACTAAAGGGTTTATGCAGGCTCTACATGATGCACCCAAGCACTGGATTGGCCCGCCAACCTGGGGACAGTTTCTAGACACCTGTCATCATTGGCACAAATATCGCGATTGCCATGCAGCCGACTTGGTCCAGCATAGCATAGGACACCAACTCCAGGAAGCCCAGCAGGCCGCCAACGATGAGAGCCACCTCCACCAATACAAAGAATGGCTGCAGCAAGGACAAGCCAAGGGATTGAAAGGGCTTTTCAGGAGCCTCCGCAGCAGTGAGCTTGCCTGGGAACGACCCTATCGCAATTTACCACCGGACGAAAGGATGACTCAACGACTTCAAGATTGGGGCCAACTTTGGACAATTAGACAAGACGACCAGACCCATGAAAGACCCAGTTTACAGGAACAAGCCAAGCTGCAGGCGCAACAGCTCGAACCCATCACGCTCAGCCAACTGACCTGGGTCCTCAAGCACTTGCCGGACAAAGCTTGCGGACCGGATGCGGTCACAGCCCAGCTGCTATGCGCAGCCCCACCACTGGCAATAAGAGCACTCCTTCAGCTATTCCATATGATGGAGGCACAAGCACAGCTTCCAACACAGCAACAAATGCATATGATGGTGATGCTACCCAAAAACAGCAGCCAGACACCATGAAGCCTTGAACGACTACTACGACAAGAAGTTCATCGAGCCAATGGTCAGCACGGGGTCACATGCCTCATGGACATGTCCACCTTCTATGACACCATCAACCTGACCAGGCTCCTAACTGAAGCACTTCAACTTCAGTATCCACCGCTCCTCCTCGAAATGGCCATGCAGGTCTATACAATCGTAGCCGAGCAGGAAATGACGCCTTTCTTCAAGGTGCAAAATGGAGTACCAGCTGGCTGTCCTCAAGCGCCACTTCTGGCCAAAGCTGTACTGGCCCCAGCCCTCCAACCCTGGCAAGCAGAACGCCCCAAGATCTACCTTTCCAGCTGGGTTGATGATGTGGGCTTTGACACGGCCAGCACCACCCCAATGCAGGCAGCCAAGGATGCAGTTGCAGCGTACCGGGACCTACAACAAAGGCTAACCGAGCTGGGCTTACAAGTCAACCCAAAGAAAACCGCCTTCATTGCAACAGACAAGGCCACCGACCGAGAACTTCGCAGCCTCCTCCAAGACCATGAACCTCCAGTTGAAATGGTCATGAGTGATCTTGGCATAGATCATCAGGCGGCCAGAAGACGCAGAATCCCAGTCATGAAGCAACCAATCTCCAAGGCCAATGCTCGGAAGCTCAAGCTTCGAAGTCTGACGATACCTGCTCAAAGTGCGGCTTCGTCTTCACAGAGGGGGCATTCAGCCAGTTGCTCTATGGCATTGAAAGCCAAGGACTGGCGCCCGGGTATCGACAAGCCTTACGCCAAGCTATGGCCAAGCATCTCGGCCATCACACAGGAGGGATGGTTGACATAACCTACGACATCCACCGCAAGCGCTACATCGAGCCAGGTAATCAAATCCTCATTCACCACATCAAAGCCATCCATCACCTTATCCAGGCATGGCCCCCAGAGCAGCTTCCGGCTCTTGAACAGGCTTGGCACACCACTTACCAGCAACTCCAACCCAAGCAATACCCCTGGTACAGTGTTCGAGGTCCTTTGGCCGCTACCCTCGTGTACCTCCAGGAATGGGGATGGCAAGCGGCCGAACTCCTGAGATGAACCAGGCCAGAATCCAAGTTACTCCTAGCCAACGAGCTCAGGATCCAACAACCGTGGTGGCAGCTAGAGCAGACACTAACTTGAGAAGCACAGCAACAACGCATTCATCGGATAGCCAGCAAACCACATCCTCAAGATCTCATCACCGGCCTGGACTGGCACACCTATCAACAGGTGAGGAAGAACCTGAAGCAGAAGCACAAACACCATCTCGACACGTGGGTCCAGGGAGCACTCCATTTCCGCGATGCAACCCAGGCCAAAAGCTGCCCCTTGTGTCACGTCCCTGCTACTCCCAAGCACATTCTGTGGTTGTGTCGCTGGCACCGAACTCAACCTCATGAAGAGATGCCTCCAGAATGGATGAACCGACTCACGTGCCATGATGAAGAACCGCTTTGACGCAACGGCGCCCCTGCCAAGGCCATGGGTGTTGGGCAAGCCTTGAGGTCCTTACACACCAACAGCACAATGGATGGGCTTTCACACTCGATGCCACGTCCTATGATCTGAGGAGTGCAATGTGGATCTTCGGCCTATGTGCGCACACCATGTCTTTGGGACAATTGCGGCGGCTTGGAGCCCTCACAGGATTGGCGTCTGGCAGTCAGACTGAGATCAGGGCACTACTGGCTGGACTTTTGTCCAACTTGCCACGGTCTGGGAAGCATGGCATCAAACCAGGAGCAGAGGACCCTTCCAGGACCTACTCCATGAGCTGCCGCCGCAGGAATTTCAACGCATCACGGTTCTCTATGTCAGCAAGAACGCCAGATGCCCCTGGCAACGAGCCACAACTACGACGGCGTCAACGGGACTCCGCCCTGGCAGCGTGGGAGAGGGCCAAAACACTCCATGATGCCAGACAGGAAGAATGGCAAGAAACATTGGATCAGGATCACCAGCTCATCTACAAACATGCCGTGCAGAGACTAAGGAAGATCTATGAAGACACCACACATTACATCCACCAGAAAGCACCACGGCACCAAGGCAAACAAACAAAGCAGCATAAAAAGGACCTTGTCAACCAATGCCGCAAAGCATGGGCCGAAAACCATCACCGATGGGAGCCTCACCGGAGTGGATTCCAATGCACTGCATGTGGCAGCAGAATGCATCAGGGCCTCACGGCTGAAATCCTGGAAACCAGACTCCAAGAAGATTGCCCACAAATGCTCATTGCAACCAGCCCGCTCTGCACTCAGAGGTTCTGCCGAAGAAACAAACCCGAGCCCAGCACATCAAGCAGATCCTGGCCCAGCAGTCTGCCCAGCCTGAACCAGGAAAGCGCCAGCTTGTTGAGACCACAGGGTACCTGAAATGCAACCAATGTGGTGTCAACATACACAAGAGGGTGAATGAAAGCGCTTTCATCACCTTCATTCAAAGCCCATGCGTGAACCAAGAGTTCACTGGCGCACACCCAGGCCATCCCTCGCATGCACTGTGGCAGGGGAAAGAGTCAAGTGCACACAGTGCGGCGCCCAGTGGAACCTAGAGGGGCAACAAAGGATCATTACCACACAGGCCCTTCACAAGGCCTGCAAGGGTGCAGCCCTCAAGGGATCACCGCCGCTCAGCGAGTTCTTCAAAAAGAAGGACACACCAGGCAGCGGCAGTCAAGAAGCTACAACAAGCCAGCCCGAGGAAGGCAAAACCCGACCCACGCCCAAAAGGCTCCATTTCTCCACCGAGCTGGATGAACAAGAAGCATTGCACCAGCAATTTGCTGCACTGGCCATGAACCCCAGCCTGTCAGCAGCAACGGTGGAAACAGCTCCAGCTTCCGAGAACAGGGCAGAAGCAACTGAGCACCAACTTGTCGACCTTGATGAGGATGCCCAGTTCACGGTGGACGATTTCTAAGTGATGAAATCACTGAGGACACCCACCTGAAAAGCCTTTGAGGACTGCAAGAACGCCTGAGCCGAGGTCCGGCCACTGAGGCAACAGCCCTAGCTTCACGGCCACCCGGGCCTAGGAAACCAACCACAACTTTAGAAGGAAAAAACTCCGTACATCCATCCATCCATCCATCCATCCATGCATGCATGCATACATACATACATACATACATACATACATACATACATACATACACACACATACACACACATAGACTGGATTAATTGTGCAAAATCATATAATCCGTTTCCACAACTCTTGGTTCACCGAGTCGCTCTCCTTTGCAGGTGAGAAGAGCAGGGTTGATGCCCAAAACTTTCTCGAACGTTTGGCGCCACTACTCCCAAGAAAGGACTGCGATTTTACTTGGTAGAAGATATAAACAGCTTGTAAGAGGCGCGTGCATAATGGATACGCATGGATATGCAATGCACTGATACAGTATGACAAGGGATTTCAAGTGCGACTGCCATGACCTGCAGACCTACAAGATGGACGCATACCCAACTGATTCCAACTGCCCTAAAAGCCTTGGACACTTTGAGTTGGTTTTTTGGGGTCTGCCGTGATCAGACCGTTTGAGATGCAGATCTCGGGGCTGTGGCTTCAGGATTGCCCATTGCAATTGCCGTCGCTGCAGGCGAAACCATAGAGAGTTGGTGCAGATTAGTTTAGTAATGTAAGTTTAGTAGATGTTCAGAAGTAAGCACTTTTTTGTTGGTTTCTAGCAGGAACATCCCAACCAGACTCGATTTGTCTTGTAAATTGCAAGCACCCACAATGCAAAAACTTTCCTTTTTCCATTTGTGTCCTATCCAGATCCCGCACCTTGATATGGACGTTGCATGCATTCGTCCAGGCGACCGTGGACCACCTGCGGTCGAAGCAGAAAGAGCTCCAGGACATTGATGCCAGGCGTATCATGTCCTCCAGCTCCGGCTCTGCCTCCTCTGATGATCGTCCAGATCCCCTGAAGGCTCAGGTACAGCAGCAATCAGGCGGGATTCCGAACGTGAGAATGGCTGGGCGAACATGGAAGTAATCATTCCCTGGGTGGACAACCTTTGCTCCAATGTCATTTTTTCAGGCATTCTTCATGGATTTTTGGGGGTTCCATGGTGTTCTTCCATGGTGTTCGTTCTTTTTCGCAGCCGCCTACACGAGGGAGACAAGCACTTGAACTGTGAATGAATCATGCTGCATTCCAATCAATGATGCTATTGAAGAATCTGCTCCTTGTTCTTGCATGTTCTTGCTGGATCCGACTTTGTTCTCTCAACCTGCTGGGCTCAAGTCATTTTGGGCTGAAAACCAGCCGTGGCTGCCTGGCTCTCAGCCACCCTTTTCACTTTTTCCCCACCTAGCTGTCAAAGATGGCCAAGGCAGCTCTCACCGTGGCCGCCGTAGGAGGTGTGGCCTTTGTGGCACCGCAGGTGTCCATCACCACGAGGGGGACACCTGCGCTGAGGGGCCAGGTGCGAAGCCAAACTTCCAGCGGTTTCAGCTCCAATGCGGCAGCAGTGGCCCTAAGCAGTGCTGCAGTTGCAGTGACCGCCTTGAGACAGAGCGACAAAAAGACGGTCTTGAGAGCCTTTGAGACAGAGCTCGGTGTGACTCCTCCGTTGGGCTTTTGGGATCCCTTGGGCTTTAGCAAGTTCGAGAACCCCGAGGTGGCCCAGCAGCAATTCAAGCGACGGCGCATTGTGGAGATTCAACATGGTCGGGTGGCGATGTTGGCTTGCATTGGCTACATTGTGCCGGAATACTTCCGGTTTCCTGGTCTTTGCTCACCCTCTCAAGGCTTGGCCTTCACCGACATCCCCAATGGGCTTAAGGGCGCCGCTGCTGTGCCTTTGGCTGGCTGGTTGCAGATCATCACCTTTGTGGGTATCATTGAGGTTACCAATCTGCAGAAAGCCCAAGACGAGATCCTGGGTGACTATGGCTATGGAGCCTTTGGCCTTCCCTTCGGCAAGAAGATTGACGATCCTGAAAAGAAGAAGAAGAGCTTGACCGCCGAGCTCAACAACGGCCGTTTGGCCATGATGGCGATCATTGGCATGTTCTACCAAGACGGTTTGACTGGCTCTGCTTGGGGTGACTGGGCCAACTATGCTGATTCCCCATTGCGAGCCTTTGAGAACGAGACAGGTGTCCAGCCTCCTGTGGGCTTTTGGGATCCCTTGGGCCTTTCCACCAGCGGCAACCAATCGGACTACAAGAGACGGCGAGAGGTAGAGCTGAAGCATGGCCGTGTCGCCATGTTTGCGACCATCGGCTACATCTTACCTGAGTATTGGAGGTTCCCCGGATATTTGTCGAAGTTCTTGGACATCAAGTTTGCAGATGTGCCCAATGGTCTGAGTGCCATTTCCAAGGTTCCATCTCTGGGCTGGCTGCAGATCGTGGGCTTTGCTGGCATCGTGGAGCTCAACGTCTACAATGAGGAGGTGAATGGTGAGCCCGGCAACTATGGCTCGGGATTCCTGGGACTCCGCTCCGTTGGGGTCATGAACAGTGGCATTGCCGACCCGGAAATCCGCAAGAAGAAACTCAACGCCGAGCTGGCCAATGGTCGTTTGGCCATGATGGCCATCATCGGCATGTTCTTTCAGGATGGCCTCACGGGAAGCGCATGGGGAGATTGGGCCAACTACACCGACTCTCCTTTGCGCTAAGAACGGTGACATGTTCGCAGACGACGCGTGGGAAGAAAGGTTCGGAGATGTCGCAAGGTTTCATGCAGAAAATGAGATGAACATGAGTATTTATTATGTACAGTATAGATATGTATAGATCATATGTGTCTCTGTCATTCTGAATCAAGAACACATTGCCGTCGCAATTTTGGACCTTCTGTCTGGATTCCGCCCAGGAGTCCTGAAGCAACATGCAGATAAACTTTCCAGTGCTTTAGAGGCAGGGTTGAATCATGTGACCAATTGCGTAGCGACCTTCAAACAGCGGACGATCCATGAAGATCCTTTCGATTCAAATTTGGCAGGGCACCTCTGGGCTGTTTTCTGCTGGTTTTGGTGGCCGCTGGCTGTGCCTGATTCAAACACCACTTGCCAAAAGTCTGTTCTCCTAAGCAAGTCAAGTGTCATTGCATTCTCAATTAGAACATCACAAAGAGTGTTGCCATGGATGTTTGTGCCTTCATAGAGAGGGTCAGCTTAATCTTAAAGATCGTAGTATGGTCGTCCACCTTCGCCAGGTTGGCCGCTCCTTGTTGATCGCTCTTCAGCAGAAGGGGCCAGAGACGGACCGGCTGCCGGAGAACTGGTTGGAGTCTGCGGAGGCGCGGAGATCATCTGAGAAGCAGAGGCAGCAGAGCTCAAAAGATAGACACCTATTATTAGGCTCCAACCTAATAGCAATGGCCTCCAAAGCAAATACTGTTGAATCACATTCTTTAACATTCTTCTACGGCAGATTCACTTTTCTAAAGATTTGGTCTTCACCACCACCTTTACCTGAACAAAATTGTTTGAACACTTTTTGAGCACAGGGTCTAGCCGTGTGGGGCCTTGTGTTCTGCAAAGTTGCTATAGTCTTTGGACTATAAATCAAGGTATGAACAGGTGGGCACGGATGTGAAACAATCTTTCCAGGATTGGCAGATAACGCAGGCGATTGCACATGTGCTGAATGTATATAGTATGTGTCCCAATAAAGTGTCAGGTCCTGGGGTCTTGAATGATTTGCATAAGTGACTGGGTTGGAATGACTTGATCTTGACACCCCACTTGAGCCTTGAAGACTTGGACATGTATATAAGTAGGTTTATCGACCGTTTGCCTTGGAATATCCTTGTGTACAAATGGACATCTTTGACACTGGGTGAGCATGTCACATGTCCAAAGGACGACAAGAACAGGCTCGGACACCAAATATTGCATCCCGGATGTTAATCCTCGGTGGACGGAACAAGAGCAATTCACAGAGGCAGCATATCCATTTTTGAGGCCGTGGCTCTGGCGGGCATGATCGATGAGGTCCTCCAAAGCATGAGGACTGCGTTGGGCTTTGGTGGTCTAGTAAATCAGGCGTGACTCGGGGCACACAGACCGGGGGCTACTTTTTCAGAGGAGGTGCCATTGGTGTGGGTGCTTTGGGGTTGACCTGGAAAGCTCTTTCCAGCAGATGGTATCCGGAAAAGACCAGGTCGAACACGAACTTGCAAAGAGATCCAACGGACCTGCTTGTCGATCGATACATGTGAAGCACACCCGAAAACGTCTCCGGGTGGAGTGTTGAAATGGAAGGTCATTTTTAGTGTTGTATCAAAATGCTAAGGGTATGCAATGACAAGTCCGACTTCGGTTGCAGGGTCTGCCTTTTGTCCTAGGGGTATTGGACATTTTGATGACCTGACATTTACATGACTCCCACCTTTGTGTTGGAAATTCCGAAAGACCTGTCTTCAATCGTAAATAGACTTCCATAGACCATACTGAGTATAGTGGCTACTTGTAGTAGATATGCCTTGACATGGCCACTGGCGTGCGCGGAACACCTCAGGCTTCCTCTGCACGTAAAAGATATGCTCTGGTAGGATCTATATTATAGTGACATGCAAAATATAGTGACACAATTGGTCACATGCGTTGTATCGTTTGCGCCGTCCGCCAGGACTCTGGCTCTGCGTTTGAAGGATGCACGGCCCACTCCACTTGCCGAAGCCCGCAAGGGGACCGAAGCCGAGGAGGCAGTCCCACGACGCTCCTCACAGGGGCGAGGAGGAGATGGCTGTCACCTGGAGTCCCAACACACTTTGTTGAAGGATGTCCCAAGTAGCGTTCTTGCTCCTAGTAGTAAGGCCAGGAGCCCCTAGTAGATCTGGGAGCAAGACCTTTGCCTCCGCATCATCCATGCGAAACGGAGACCGATCTGACACTCGCTTGAACCAGACCCATTGGGATTTTGTCTCAGGTCGCGGCTTGGGTCGCCCGGCCCGAGAAAGACACCCCAGGAGCGCGGTGACGAAGAAATTCGACGTCCGAAAGAAGGAAGAGAAGGAGAAGCTTTGCCCCGGATTCAGTCGATTGAGCTCAATGCTGGAGAGTAGATTGTTGAGGAGTTCTATAGTTGTACTGTGCTTGAACCGTTTTCTTATTGTAGAACAACATTTGCTTTTCGTCTATCTGATCTTAGGACTTCGGTCCTTGCTATGGAATTGGGTGTAAGGGCCTTATGAATCCTCATCTATGCCACACGATTGCAATAATTAGACACCACTGAAACTGATTACGAGCTGACTCGGGCCAGGCACTGCCAAGTGCAAGTGCACTTCCAGAAGAAACATACACTTCCAGGAAAACATACACTACACCTCTGAGCATCTTGAAAGGTTCTCATCAAGCCCCGAGTGAGGTGGGGAATAGTGGGGCTGGTCGGCTGATCAGTGCAGATGTAAGGCGTGACAAGTAAACAGCAGAGATTGTAGTGGACAATTTGGGGCTTCCACCACAGTGATTCCGTGTGGAGAATGACCTGCACGCAGGAAGAAGTTCTTCCGGGTGCATCGTCATCCGCTTGGTTTTGAGCCTAGAGGACAAATTCATCAAACTGAGTGATATCGGTCTCACAATAAGCCACTAGATAGCAGCCACCAGATTGCATTCTCTACTCTTCGTTCTTTTCGAGTGTTGCAAACTGAGGGATGAGAGGCAAACTGTCCCAGCAAGCCCTCAAGAGGCCAGAGGAAGGGGCTTCAAATCGGACTTTTTGTTTGTCATCTTCCTTAAAGGTAGCGTGAATGCACGCCATTTCTGGCAATTCTGAATCAAGTGTGCATGATCTTCATTTTCTAGGATAGCTGAGGAAGTGTTCATGCAGTTCTGTGTTGTCATTGTTCCGCAAATATGATATTTTCTGGCTGTTCTTCTTCTGGTCACAAGCTGTTTTGCTCCGAGACCTTGGACCACAGCTCCGATGAGACTCATGATGAGGCGCGGAACGGAGGGGCTGGGGAGTTTGTTGGAGTTGATTCGGAGGCAAGTCAGGCTGCAATCGGCTGCAAGACAGAACGGACGGACAACGCGCCAATGACCTGTTGGCACAGAGTTCTTCTGCTGCAAAAGCTCACCCTGCATACTTCTGGCCCGCAGCTAACTGAAGAAAACACCTGAGCTGCGCATGCAGGAAGAAGTTCTTCCGGATGCACACTCGTTTTGGGCTTAGAAGACAAGTTCATCAAACTCATATCGGTCTCGCAATAAGCCACCAGATAGCAGCCACCAGATTGCATTCTCTACTCTTCGTTCTTTTCGAGTGTTGCAAACTGAGGGATGAGAGGCAAACTGTCCCAGCAGGCCCTCTAGAGGCCAGAGGAATGGTTTTTGGTAGGTTTTCCATCGTTTGATCGAGACATTTGCACATGTATGACGCATCTTCTTTAAGGGTACCTCCCATGAATGTACACCGATCTTTGTCGCAAGTCCGAAGAAAGCGTGCATGGACTTTAATTGCCACCATAGGTGGAGATAAACTTGAGCCAGCAACTCTTTCAGCGAAGACCTACATCTTGCTGTTGGCAGTGAAACGCTCACTCATGCATTTTCGCAACCAGTGGCTAGGTGCAGCCACCTGTGGAAGAAGATGAGGATGGGTGTAGAGCGCCGAAAAAATGGGGTATCGGGTGAGGACGACTCCTGAACCAATCACCAGCTGGATGGCCAGATGTTCTTGAGACACAACATATTGAGACGAAGGATGAAGCGAATTCTGACGTCGGATGAGCTCCAAAAGCAAAAGTTCCGTGACTCGTCCTGACTCGTCCTGACTGGCAACGGGGGGTGACCATGAACCTGAAATGTGTCAGGTCTGTGTTGCGACAAACACAGAGAGCTGTGCGATTTTGGCGCTGTTCTTTGCAACCAAGCTATCGCACTATCCTTCCTCAACCAAACATGGAAATCGACTTAGCAAATGATGGCGAAGACGAGCACTTTCTTCTCTTAATTACTATTTGTCTTGGATGGAGGCTACAGAAGTGTGGGCCGCAAGTGAACTACAGCTTCTCGTTGCAGGTGGAGCTGCCAAGTTGGTGGCCCAGGCCGGGACGCGTTGCATTGAACAGAGTTATGACTGTCCTGCAACCCAAAGCAACGAGTGGAAGAACCAACAGTCCGAACCCTCATTCATCATGCCCAAAGCAGCGAGAGGTTTTCAAGTTTTGGGTCGATGCCATGAACAAAGATTGAGACGGGTGATTCTCCACAGCTCATGATCTCACAGGTGAGAGGCCCAGCGGCCCACCCTGGCAGGTGCGACGGAGTGCTGATGCAGGAGCGAGGAAAAGACATGAGGCTATTGGCTATCCATCGGTGATTCTTCGAATCCCTGGTATTCCCGGGTGTTTCCCATAAGACCCAGAGAGTCTTGTGCATCCCAAACCTCCTCGGAGTGTTTTTCAGGTATTTCGATGGTGTTTCGAAGGTCTTTTGCACTGTTTTCACTTTCCATCTTAGTTTGTTGCATCGAGCATGTAGGAAATGTGAATACTGGCGTTTGAGCTACCAGAAACATACACTGCGGTGAACCATCTAATTATATATATTAATATATATATATTCTCAGGGTCTGGACTGGACTGATTCGAACGCAGGGTGGTGCAATCCTTTGCCCAAACCTGGCTAGGAGGCCGCATCACTGAGTGACGGCCCGGTCTTTGCAACACAGCTGGTCAATTCGGTGGTTGGAACACTGGAGAGGATAGTCAATCCCACGCCGCACTTTGGATGAGAGCTCAGAAAAGAGAGACCAGATCAGACCAGAAACATATCCTTGACAAGCATAAACCAGGATATTGACCTTAGTGTTTTCTCTGTTCTTTAGTGTATTTGTTTGTTGGTTGATTGTGGCAATCTGACCTTACATTAGGCCTTGAGATGCCTCGATACACCGCAGAAGATGGAGTGTATGAGCTTCCAAGTGGCAGGTGCTGCTCATCTCATTGCAAGATTCTTTCAGGCAGAAGGCTCACAACTGTGACGCCATTGAATATTTTGAATTCTATTGAGCAGAAAAAGTGTTCAGCCATGTGGCCCCCAAATGAGAGGGCAATTTATGGCATCGAGGTCCCCTTCAGGGCACCCGCCACAGTGGCAGGTGGCGCATCTGAGGATGACATCGATGAACTGCAGAGGACGCCAGTTGTACAGTGGTCCTTCGCACGAGCCTGTCAGACAGGAGCACATCATTCCGCTTGGACTTGCATGCCCACTCAGAAAAGGGGGGACATCCATTTGCTTGCAAGGTTGGTGTAGCTTACTTAGGAGCCACCGAGTCGTGCTCTATACATTTTCCCTCCTGTCCCCTCAATGGTGCACATCCAAGCATGTGGAAGCCTGAAACCGCCTGCGAGCGCCGAGCGTCCCAATGACTATGGGCCGTGTTAAGACTGGGGCGGCTCAACAGTGTGGACCCCAAAGCTCAAACCTAAAAACAAGAGTATTTATGCAAGCATAACATATACGGAGAGCTTTAGTTCACCAGTTTGGAGCACCAAACTGCACTTCCGAACCCACAGCATTGGAGCACCGTACCTTTCCCCCTGTCCACCGGGGCCATGCCCCCTACCTGAGTCTACCAGCACCCAGTGGCGTGAGAAAAGGCTGCCCGATCACGGCGCTGTCCTTGGGGCGTGGATGGGGTTGATGGGGAATCCGTTGTGCCACATGGTGGACTCATGACTTTGCCGAAACCAGAGACGACCGCCTGACCAAACTTTCTCGCTAGGAACCCAATGCTGGCCTTGGGAATCCAAAGATATATGTATATAACATCTAGCAAAGATTCTTAGGAATCCCAATCCTGTCCAAAGATATTACTGTATCTAATAAGGATCTTTGGAGATTAACATCTAGAATCTAGCATCAGTCGTCCCACGCCACGACGGGAGAGCCGCCAGGTCCAAGGGTCGAAAAGACGAGGAGAAAGAGGTGAAGCGCACCTTAGGTCCTTTGCTGAGACTGGAGTCCTCATGTCCCAGGGGAATCAGACCTAATAGCTTCCTAACCTCCTTTCTTTTTTAGCAGCAATTCATGGGATTCCGCTGCTAGAGGGTGCAGCAATTGGAAGGAGAGGTTCTATGTGTCATAATGTCGTAGGGTCTTTTTGCTTCCCAATATGGCTCTACACTCTGGTATTTGTGTGAGTCTTAGCTCTCCGCCTTCTCCAAAAGCAAACTCTGAGAGTGACAAAATGTCGAGTCCCGTTCCCGGCCAAGACGGACTCGAAATGTTTTTATTGTACACCTGACACAACTCCCGAGGGCTCACCAAGTGGACAATGGCCTAACTAGAAGGGATTCAGAGTCCATAGAGGAAAGTATTTGAAGGGAGGCTTGGGGCAGCAGGGTTTGGTTGTTTTTTGCCCCCGAAACAAACAAGTCTTGCGTGCCCAACATCTGGCCCGGTTTCGCCCAGGTTTTGTAGTCCTGCGAGGCGAGGAGAGTCACTCAGGGGAGCCGAGACGTTTCAACAATCGATTGTCCCACCCAGCAGGTTCATCCGAATGCAATGGAGCAACCAATTCCACTTCATACCAGGCTTTCTGGGGCACAGAACAGGGTTCCTCTTGGATCAACTGGGATCCTCGGGCTGTGTGCTTGCGGAAAGGCCCACCAGGTTTACGGACATGGACATCCCTTAGATGACCTTCACTGTAGCTTCAGAGGCAATTGACTAATCTGTTTCTTTGTGAAAACTTTCTGCGCGAGGTGAGACCATCGTCTCTCTTATGGCCGAGGTAGGGTGAGTGTCAGGACGAGTGGCCCAACGAGATCTACAAACCAATCGCCTTCGAATTGAACAGATCAGGTTTAGACCATGTTGACCAACGTCGACACGAGCTGCATTGCTGAACACTTGCAGACTTCATCCGAACCCAAAACAGTCGCACGGCGGCGGAACACCGCCACCCTCTCATCCGACGAGGCACCACCACCGACCGGACCCAAGAAGCCTGACATCCAACCTGGCCCTGGGCGTGGACAGGCGCAAACGGGTGTGGTTTGCAAGATATTTTTTGGGCCGACAGGCTTCCCAGATGCGCTTTATGGGGATTTACGGCATTCAGATGTATAGAAATCCAGACTTGTGGCAAAGTACCGGTCATTTGGATTTATGGGATCTCACACGGCTTGAGAACTAACCCCACAAGCCGCCCACGATTTGGGAAGACTCAGAAGACTATGCATTGCTGGAGGCTAGGCGCTTGCTTGCCACTGGCCGCTCAAACAAGTTTAGGTAGAAGACTCGAAACCAGTGCCGGGCAACTTTGATTTATATGTAACCGATTGTCAATTGTGTATATATATATATACACATACATAATTATATATATATATATGTATCTTAAATGGTATATGACTAGTTGTCCGTCAGGACACCGTTTGTCACGGAGCGACCGGTAAGTGGCGGCTCAATACCCTTTTCAGGTGGATTAGGGATCCAGCGGTGCCGCCATGGACGCCAGTGATGATCTGGCGTTGATCTGCGGTCTCGCTGGGTTGAACACCTGGGAGACCGCAGTGATGGAGGCTGCGGGGTGGTCAGTCACGCGGCTGGCCACCCTGCAGGACTGTGGCCGAGAGACGCTGGAGGCCATGGTCTGGCGCATCCAGCAGCGAGAGAGCGAATTCGCTGTGAGCACCGACACTCTGTCGGAGCTGGTGCGCAGGGCAGCCACTCGTGCCCGCACGAGGCACATGTGGGACGCGAAGCGCGGCTCGCATGAGTTGCTTGAGGCGCATGTCGCCCATCAGCGCTCAGTGAGGAGGAGGGCCTTCGACGAAGTGGTCGAGGACGACGTGAAGAAGCGCATAGAGATGGTGGGGACCGCCAAGAGAGGACGGTGGCCAACACGGCTTAGCATGAAGCTCCACATCGCGTCGGGTGACCTGGCGATGAGGGAGTTGGCAGAGCGACAAGAACGCGATCGTTGGATTGTCGAGATCAAAGAGATCGTCAAGCGGGCTCGGCTCCCAGTGGCCCGCAGGTCGTCGGACGAAGCACTCATGATCCGGGTGGCCAAGGGCAGAAGAGCAAACACCTTGAGAAAGCATGTGAAAACATGGATGAAAGCTTCGAGGTGGATTGAGGCTACGTTCGGATACTCCTGGCCCGAGACGCCCGAGGCCTTTGCAGAGTTCTTGGAGGCAATGGTGGAAGAACCCTGCGCCAAGAGCTTCCCGGAGTCGGTATACAAGTCCTTGATGTTTCTGGAGTATGCCGGCGAAGTGCCGGAGGCCGATCAGATCTGCAGAGCGCCAGCTGTTAAGAACGCACTTGAAGAGGCAGCGCTGCGCCTGCAGTCAGTTGAGCTGAAGCCATCACGCAAGGCTTTGGTTCTGCCCGTCTCGGTGGTGATCTCGTGGGAGGCCCATGTATGCGATGAGAATATGCCGAGCTATCCAAGGATCTACGCCTGGTTCCGCCTGGTCAAGCTGTGGACGGGCATGCGCTTTGACGACACGAAGGGCACTCCGAATCGGACAGTCGAGATGCTGGACTACGGCTTGAAAGGGGTGATTCATAGATCGAAGACCTCTGGCCCAGGAAAGCGTGTCATCCTTCTCCCCTTCTACATCAGCAAGGAGGCCTGGATTGTGGAGAAGGAGTGGTTGTTGGTGGGCTGGAGGCTATGGACAGCGATGGGGGCGGAGTCTGGTATGCATACTAGGGACTTCACGCTCCCTTGGCCCAACAAGGCGAGAGATGGCTTCATCCGGAAGGTCGTTGACTACCCCATCGCGTCGACTATGTCACAGGCATTGTTCAATGAGTTGCTGGCACGCCCCGGGCCGGAGAAGAAGAACCTCCTGGGCCCGGGATTGGGAGTGCTGTGGACAGAGCACAGTGAGCGGGCGACCGTCCGCACATGGGCGCAAGCAGCGCGCGTCCCAGAGGATGTGCGGAGGATGCTGGGGCGATGGAGGCCTTCGGCTGACGAGGGATACGAGAGGAATGTGAAGATAAATGTGCTGCGATGTCAAGCGGTCCTGGCGCTGTTCATCAAGGAGAACATGTCGAACGCGGATCCGTTTGATGAGACGACGGTCATCCAGCTGGTGGCGCAGAGGATGAGGGAGATGGGCAGCAGTCAGGACGACTGCGATGAGCAGATGATGCGGTTGATGTCGTTCATGCCTGGAGTAGGCGCAGCGAAGCCATGCAATAGGCCGAAGTGGACGACTACGGGACCGGTGGTCCTGGTGGAGGAGTCGGAAGCCACGGTGGGAGTGGAACAGGAGACGACCGAGCAGCCAGTGAAAGATGAGCAGCAAGGAGTAGAGTCACTGGAGGAGCAGGAGGTCGAGCCAGTAGAGAAGATTTCAGGAATGTACATAGTTTCCATCGTGGGCCGTTGCAAGACAAGGACACTCCACCGAATAGGTGAGTGCCACAGGCAGCCAGGTGTACACTACGCCAACTATGAGGTGGTTGGAGATGATATCCCAAGCAAGTCGGCATACCATCGGGCATGTCGACAATGCTTCCGCAGCGGGATTGCGGAGGCAGCGAGCCCTCTCGAGGATGACTCCTCGGGAGACGTGTCGTCGTCAGAGATGACGACATCGGGGGCAGAGAGCACGGGGTGATGAGAAGTACAGGCAGTTCATCTCGTGAGAGGAGGTTTGAACAGATACCGCACAGGTAGAGTGCAGCATGAAAGGCGCGTGCGCCGCAGCGTCGGGCCTAGAGTGTTGCACTGGGGAAAAGTCAGAGTGTAGGGAGAGGAGGAGATAGCCAGGGTCCCTGCACGTCGGTACTCGTCTTCGATGGGGGCTAGATAAGGAGGTAGAGAGCGTCGCGCGCGCGTGTCGGTCGAGTCTGTGTTGTAATCTCAGGCACCTTAAGAGGTTGGCAGGTAATTCGTCTTTAGTGCTGACTTTTGAGAGCATTTCAAACTGGCATGTGCATATGGACCACGTCACAGGTGAGATGATGCATCCTTTTGGCCTAGAGCAGGGAGAGGGAACGCGTCGGCGCGCCAAGGGGCCGGCGCGGAGACGTGGTGTCCGAGGATGGCAGGCATCGGGCACGACGCAGAAGAGCGACGGCGAAATGCTATCGCATTGCTGGACGCCGACCTTCACGGCTTGTTGCAAGTGAAGGAGGTGGACGAGACCATCCAGGCCAAGCTGGCGGTAGCGAAGATTCGGAGCATCAGCCGGATGAGCACAGTAGCAGATGACAGGCAGGGCATCCGCAAGTTCTGCGCTGATGTGCTGGCGTTGGACGAGACAAGGGATGTTGTGGAGATTGCTTCCCTCGTGGACACCTGGGAATCGGCATCCACCCGCATCAGTGTGCGGAACAAGGCTGAAGCAGAAGCAGGAGTGGCGAGCTTGCCTGGGGCTGTGAACAAGGTAGAAGTGCAGGAGCTCATGGTGAAGTTTCAGACAGTGCATGGCATCAAGCTCGAGGACAGGAACACTCCAGCAACCTCAACGTTGGAGCAGATCTTCGACCAGATCGAGCAAGGCGAGATGAAGAACATGAGTCTGGTCCAGTTCCTCAGCCGTGAAGATGCAGAGGCTGACATCCTGGGCGCAACAGTCGAAAGAGGCACCGGGACATTGAAGATCAAGAAGGGATACGGGGAATGCCAGAAGCCAAGGTCGCCAGAGGAATTCAGGAAGCGAATGGCAGTTGTGTCACATGCATACCTGCTGGCGCAATTGAAGTATCCCCAGAAAGCAAGCTTGAAGGATTTACAGCCTCAGCACTTCCTCAAATACTTAGACCTGCTCCTGGGTGACCATGTTCTTGGCCTCAAGGCCAGAGACAAAGATGGGGCGGTGGTGGCAAGCCCGGACTTCGATTTGATGTTGTCGTACGACTTCCAAATTCGTCGACAGATGGTGAAGTTGGTGAACGAGGGCACCACCATCGGCGAGGCACTCAAGGAGGCTATGACAGATACAACAATCAAAGAGAGGTACTTCCTCACACCCAACGTGTACTCCCAGGTGACCCATTCCTCGAGCAGTTCAAGAGGAGAGTACACAAAGACCGACTACGCCAGGTCGAGGAGCCCACCAAGGCCATGGCACAGTTGGGGAGGAGATCACTACGAGCCGTCAAAGGGCAAAGGCAAAGGCAAGAAGGGTGGCAAAGGAAAGGGAAAGAAGGGCCGGCAGCATCATGACCGCACACCAGACGGACGGCAAATCTGCTGGAAGTGGAACAATCCAAAGGAGCGCTGCCGTTATCAATGTGGCCGCCTACATGTGTGTCAGATTTGTTTCGGCAGTCACCCAGCACACGCATGCGATGGCTCGGGGAAGACCAAGGATACAGCGGGAGGAGCCGCTGACAACACCAAAGCGGCTTGAAAGAGCACGGAGGAGGGGGTGGCCTCGCCCCCTCCGGCTATGAGGGACACAACGAGAGGCACACGAATCTGCAAGGTCCTCTATTTGTTCAGCGGAGCCCAGAGGAAAGCATCGGTGGCTTCGTTCTTGCAAGCAGAGGCCAAGCAAGTACAGATCGTTTTCGAGGTGCATGAAGTCGATATTCAGAATTCACCAGATTGGGATTTGACAGACAAGTCGTTACAGCAGAAGCTGCTACAGGAACTCAAGCAGGGTCTCTATCACGTGGTGCTGATCACTCCACCATGCTCCACGTGGTCCCGGGTCCGCGGCGGCAATTGCCGGGGGCCGCCTCCCATACGGTCAAGTGAGTATCCATGGGGCTACCCATGGCTTTCAAAGCGGCATCAGAAAGACGCAGACCTGGGCAATACCTTGATCTACTTTATGCTCGACGTCCTCCGGGTGTTGGAAGATCATCCACTCTCTAAGGATGGTCGATTAGTGCTACTCTTCGGAGAGCACCCTGAAGATTTGGGTGCAATCTGGAGAGAAGAAGACAATATGAAGATGATTCCCGCTTCCATCTGGCAACTGGGTGCAATGCGGCAGTTTGCACGGGCGGGCAACCCGCTCCGCTTGTTCACTGTCGTTTTCAATCAGTGCTGCTGGACCGCACCCTATCGCAAGCCTACCAGATTGCTTACCAACTTGACTCTCCTTCGCACCTGGGGACCAGGCGCCTGGCCAAGTTTTGACACTCAAGGTCGCTATTTGGGTCCTGCAGTTACATTATGCACATGCTCACCTTCGGTCTCGCTGGCACGCTCCTCCACGGATGACACTTTCCGTACCACAGCTACCTCCATCTATCCAGAACCTATGGACAAAGCCATTGCTGCAGCTATCCTGCATGATCTGCAGGCCACTCCCTCTACTGCTAAAGAGGGGGTGGAAAGGAAGAGGGAGGTGGCTCGTGAGAGGTCGAGATCTCACCAGACGAGGGCCGGCACAGGCGACGCAGTTCGCAACAAAGCAATGTTGGGCAGTGCAAGGGGACACAGTGCAACATCGTGCAGGGGCAGTGGTGCATTGAGCAGTGCAGGGTGCAACAGTGCAACATTGAGCAGTCGGAGAGGTGATGCATTGAGCAGTGACAACAGAGCAACATTGAGCAATGCAGTGGGCGGCAAGCAGGTTGACAAAGCAACATTGATCAGCTCAGTGGCGAGCGGTGGACCGGTTAGGAGGCCCGGTGTGGGCCCGCCCATGCAGACTAAGTACAAAGGTGAGCTGAGGTCGATCCACGACGGGGCTGGCCTGTGTTCTCCGGGGAGGTGGCCGGTAGGGCGCCGCACAGCACCTTCTACCGAGAAGGGCAAGGAGCTCTCCAGGTGGTGCTTGAAGGCGTTCGAAGACTGGATTGAGCTGGAAGGCGAGGAGAGGGCCAAGAAGCTCTTCTGGGAGACTGCAGGCGGAAAGTTGGGCGGCACACCGTTCGGTGGAGAGCTCTTTGGCTTCAGGGAGAGACTGGACCTATGGTTGAAGGAGCGTGGAGTAGATCCTCGTCGGAAGACGTCTGACAGGAAGTCGGAGATCAACTTCAGAAGGTTGCGAGCGGTGGCGCAGATTCTGGAGGACGAGGACTGGGTCTTTCTGTCGGAGGTGGCAGCGAAAGGGGTGTCGCTGGGGGTCGATGAGGAGATGCCTCGAAACCCGCTGGTGTTTGAGGAGAAGCAAAAGTGGACGGTTGAGCCGACGGAAGAAGACTTCCACGACACGCTGGCTGACAACTACACCTCGGCGGAGGAGAATGCGACGGACATCAAGAGGCAGGTGTTGGAGGAAGTGCAGAAGGGCACGATCTTGAGGATGTCGGAGGAGGAGGCGAAGAAGCGCTTCGGCGGTCGGCTCGCCGTGGCGGCCCCAGGGGCGGTTCCGAAAGAGCTGGGCACGACGAAGGTGCGCCTCATCCATGATGGCACCTACAGCGTCGATGTCAACAGACGCATCAGGGTCCGGGACCGCATGCGTTTCCCTCTCATAGACGACGCAGCGGCAGTTCTACGTCAGGTTGAGGAGGAGAAGAGGGAGCAGCAGCAGGTGGTCAGGCTGTCGGTGCTCTACGACATTGCAAGGGCCCACAAGTTGATACCGGTTAGGGAGGAGGACTGGGGCCTCCAGGCCTTCAGACTGCCGGGCGAGTCAACAGGAGATGTCTTCGTCCACACGAGGGGGACTTTTGGCATTGCGAGCGCGGCCTATTGGTTCGGCAGGACCATCGGTGTGGTCGTGCGTTCTTGTCACCGCATTATGGGCAGACACATGGGTTTGCTTCATTTGATTTACGCGGACGACGGCTGGTTGACGGCTACGGGTCCTCGCTTTTGGAAGAAGATATTGATGTGGCTGTTCTTGTATGAGCTGCTAGAAATCCCGATTACCTGGGCTAAGGTGCGGGGAGGTGCAGAGGTCAACTGGATAGGCTACTATCTGAACGTGTCCACCTTCGAGCGGGGCATCAACAACTCCAAGCGTGAGTGGATACAGAGGTGGATAGAAGACAAGCTCGAGAAAGGAGGCGTGGTTGGACGCGAACTCAAGTCCGTCCTCGGCAGGCTTTCTTTCGTGGCAGGGGCGCTGAGGCATGTACGCCCTTTCTTGGCGCCCTTGTTCTCGTGGTCTTCGACCTTGGCAGGGGGCACCTTTGCGAGCTTCCCGGATGCTGTGATCATCTTGCTGGAGTTTGTGAGGGAAGAAGTTTCCAGGAAGCCGTCCAGAGGGCTTGAGCCGCTGTCGACGAGCCCCACGGACATCTTCAGAGTGGACGCCAAGGCGGCGGGTGAGGAGATTGTCATCGGAGGCTGGGAGACATGGAGGAGGTCAGATCCCGCCGCAGCGCGCTGGTTCTCCTTCCGGCTGAACAGGAAGAACGCGGCTTGGGCCTACCTGAAAGGGGATCCTTTTCGTTCGATTGCAACGCTCGAGCTGATAGGTGTTTTGGCGGCCGTGATGGTGCTATCGCCGGGAGCCGAGTGGGCGGCGGGCGATGCGGCCGTGACACTGTCGGCTCTGACTGACAACCTGGGCAACACCCATGTCTTGCGGAAGTTTGGCAGCAGCAAATATCCGTTGAGCATTGTGGCCATGGAGTTGGCGACGCAGTTGGACAGGCGGGGCATTGAGCTAGACTTGCAGTGGGTACCTCGCTGGCAGAAACAGGAGGCGGACGACCTAACCAACGAGCGCTTTGACGACTTTAGCGCATCGAACCGGGTGGAGGTTCAGTTTGAGTCTCTGGAATTTCTGGTGATGGGGCGTCTGCTAGAGAAGGCTGGCAAGTTAGATGAGGAACTCAAGCTCTTCAAGACCTCGAAGGAGGCCAAGCGGCTCACCATGAAGGACGCTGGGGGCTCTTCGAAAGCGAAGAAAGGTCAGCTCAGATGGCAAGACCCTTGGTGAAGAAGGCAGGGGGGCGAAATTCGAGTCGCGGTTTCTCCTCACGTAAGCTAAGTTTGAAGAGTGGGGGTTGCGGGCCTCACTGTAGGCTAAAGTGGGGGGAAAGTAGTTTAGTGAGGCCATGGTCCAAGCTTCATAGATGTC